AGAATCAGATGCTCTACTTTATCAGGCTATCACAGCTCCACAAAGCCCCAGGGACCTGTAAAGAATGTCACTGACAGAATTTATTACCCAACTCTCCCTAGCACCTTAAACAGCTTAAAAAGGGTTATTGTTATTTTCAACTCTAGTATTGTGTTTAGGGAGCACTTCCAAGTAACATCTCCCTCATAGCATAAATCCAGACATCCTTCTCAAAAGGAAAAAGCCTTCTTCAAGGTTAAAGCCATGGCTTATCAAGTGCAGTGTTATATCCTTGTGATGAGATGAAACAGATAGTTGTATGATGACTGGATGTAAACATCATTGCCAAGTTCTACCTGCAATACACATGAAAATCCACTGCTAGACAGTTTGATTTTCCTGTCAAACAGCCACCTCACACAAAAATTTTGTCTGTGTCTTCTCATTCAGTTTGTGAAATGGATCTAGTTCAGCTCCCTCCCCTTACAGCAACTTCCACCTTACAGCTTAGCTACTCCACAGAAATACGGATACACATCTGCTACACTGAGCAGCCTGTTTAAAAGGTGTATTTGCAGAAAGACAAAGGTGTATTTGCTGTTTCTTACCAGCTGATAAAAAACACTCAGGTGCAAACACCTTATTTTTAATTTCTATACTTATTAATACTGAATGCAGATTAAATGAAGATCACCTGATGTCCTGTGCCTTTCATGATAAGCAAAATGAACAGGCTAGTACATAAAGCTGCAGTAAGACACAAATACTGTTCTCTGAAATCAGGTGTTAACTCTAGCACTTACTGATGGCAATACATGTTAAAAATAGCTAGTGCACTAATTAACCTGATAACATGGGGAAAACGGGGCAGGAGGAAACCTGCAGAAAAATAGAGAATAGAGGAAACTGCTGAAGCAGGGAAAAAGGGAAAACAAGTGTAAAACAACCAGAAAAGATGAGAAAGGAAAGGCAGAGAGAGTGGGTACCATGGAGAGCAGTTAACGATTTCATGAAGGGACACGGGGAGTATCTGACATTAAAATACCAAGACTTGGCATGACTGAATACACAACCATGAATTTTTAAATGCACAGCCAAAGAAAACAAAACATATTTTGTCCCATTCACATGCACTAAACACACGAAATCATAATACATATCATGCAAAAATAACCAACTATGCCAAAATTTTATGGAACTGCTGGACTTGGTGGTGTGGCTGGAGTCAAATATTCTTCAGACTTATGGAATCACTGGATGGGGAAAAGTTCTATTTAGAGCAATATTGGGTTTCCCACGCTTTCAATCAGCTACACAAATTTAAGTGTCACTGTAAGAGTATATCAGGTTCTCAGTCATTCAACACAAAACAGCGGGTGTGAATGTGAAGCAAGCATGACATAACTGCCTCTCCCCCATCACAGTGAGATCCCATTGTGCCCCTTTTGAAGGATTTAACTCTCCCTTTGCTTTCTAGAAAAGTGCAAAGGTAAAAGCTTCACTTCTAGCCAAGATGCAGCATTCCACAGGAACCCCAAGAGCACTGTCCATCACAGCAGCTAAAGCAGCTCTCCATGACAGAACACCACCTTTCTGTGGGTACCAACACTCTGCAACTTCATTTCACCAGGAACAGTCAGTTAGAAGTTGACCTGCTGCTTTATGTGCTTCAGAAATTAGTACCAAAACCAACACCCACAGAAAATTGAACTGAACAGAAAACCACATCGCAACCAAACAGAAACAGGTTGCCCAAATAAACCTCTTGGATACAGCTCTTGGCTACAGCAAACATAAGCAACAAGTGCCCTCAGACAAAACCCAGAAGCGTTTTCTAGAGCTTCCTCAAAATGATGAAGTGGGAGAACTTCCTGGAAAACCTGAACTCCTTTTTCGTCTCCTAACATGTAAAATACAGGAAGAGCAAAAGCTACTCACATCTGGGTATGGCACACAGAGCTCTGTAACTAAAGACACAGGGGGCTGGCATGACTAGCTAATAAAAAACAAGGAGAAAAAAGAAGCACTGAATACTTGGGGTTTGTTCTGTTTCTCCATTATTACACCTTGGCTATCAGTATTGCATTTATTATTTACTACTGTATTTATTAAAAACAGGAATCCAAAGTACCTGATACAGTCAGCACTTAGCTGTCAAATCATTACAATTTCCAACTAATAAAACAGTTGTTGTTATTATGTGATAACTCAAATGCAAGTACTGATTTTAAAATTAAAACATTTACATTATATTTCTTTCCCAAGTCATTGCTTAGCAGACTAAAATCTAAGGATGTCAATAATAAAATAATGGGGGGGAGGGAGGAGGTAAGCAAAAAGCCCCACAGCAGTTCACACCTCCCCACTGAAGCAGTATCAGACTGCAGTTACCATCACTGCACAGGCTACCCAACCAGCCTCACTCCTGTCCCCTGCTGTCCCCCTGTTACCTGTGCAGTGATGAGGTGAGATGATTCAGGGAGCTGATCTGATGAACACTGAACACTTCCGTGTCAGACCGCAGATGGGATCACCTTAAGCTGCTCTAAGCTGCACCACAGGAAGGAAAACCTGTACCTGTTCATGGTCCTGCCTCCCTTTCAAAACTGCACTTGCATTCGAGAGGAGGACAGCACAAAGAAAACGGGAAAAAAGAAAAACAAAAGAACAAAACGGGAGAAACGTTTCCTTATGGCTCTATTACACAAGGGCCTTTAAACATGAGCTACCCAAAGTTCCTGAAGGAAGTTACAGTCCTGCAGCCCACCTTCTCCAGCAGCATGGCCACATCCTACCGTGGGATTAAGAACACACCACGGGCTACACTGAGGGGCATTTATTCCAGTAATTAGCCCAATATGCACCTGTTCCATAAGTCAGCTCTACAACTTCAGATATATAAGTAAAGATACAACAGCAGGGCAAGCACACAGCCACACATGGCAGATATTTGGTATGAGCATAGTAAGGAACGTGCATCTCACGTGCTTGCCTTACAAACCTTAACACACTACTTTGTGTTTACTAAGCCCCAACGGATACTGCTTCCATTCATTCATCCATCCCGGTGTTTTTTGAAAACTTCCTGGTGCCCACAGCCTGCCAGCCAAGGGACAGATCTCTGTGACATTTTAAGAAGCAGAGGAAACACTACAACTCCATCTGCCTTTCTAAACCCTTTCCTCTCCTCTCAGCATACCAGGTATGTGACACCGTGCAGCAACAACATTGATGGGGCTGCTAATAATGCTTTTTTTTTTTTTAAATGGGAAGATGAGAGAGATTTAACACATAGTGCAAAAAAAACCAGTAAATGCAACACTGGCTATGCACGTGTAACCTGAAACATAATGCAAGTCCGTGCTTTTTTTCTTTTCAAGGGCAAACAACAGCTGTGCAACAGGTGGGAACTGGTAACTTATTCAAGCCAAGTCTATCACATTTTTTCTCACTACAAACAGATTCTGCACTGAGAGTTAACTTATGTTAACAGAAATGTTAACATGGGTCTTAGCACACTAAGGTAACTTTTCAACCTGTGGCTGTAGCCACAGACTGGCAAGAGATAGCCAGAAGGGAAATGTGACAGAAACAGCTCAAAACCCAGCAGAAATGCTGAATTAAAAGAAAAGTAACCAGGCATTTCTAACCAGCTTATTGAACACTGATACCAAAACAAAGCAGAATTTCTTTTATCTAAGGGGGTTAACACACATCAAGCGTTAACCACATGGCTGCAGACAGTAATTACTAAGAGAATGTTATCTTTATACATCAGCTGAGTTAGAAAGGACCCACAAGGATCATGGAGTCTAACTCTTAGCCCTGCACAGGACCATCCCCAAGAGTCACCCCCTGTGCCCCAGAGGATCATCCAAACACTCCTGGAGCGCTGGCAGCCTTGGGGCTGTGCTCACTGCCCTGGGGAGCCTGGTCAGTGCCCAGCCACCCTCTCGGGGAAGAACCTTTCCCTGAGATCCAACCTGATCCTGCCCTGGCACAACTTCAGGCCTTTCCCTGGGGTCCTGTCCCTGGTCCCCACAGAGCAGAGACGGTGCTGCCCCTCCTCAGGAAGTTGTAGCTGCAATAATAAATACTAAGACACACAGCGTCTGCTCTTTGGGATCCTCACCTGGAAACGCAGTACTCCCCCAAATACCCGAATCCCAGATAAAATCGGGAGAGCTGGGAATTAAAAGCTAACACCCAAGCAAAGCAAAGCAGGACGCGGGGGAAGGCACACGCACTGCTGTCAGCTGCTCCGGGCTCACCTGGGACGGTGTCCGAGCGGCAGGATGGGAGCCCCCCGGGCAGCCTGCCGGGCACGCTTTTCCCTGCAGAGCCGCGCTGCCCAAGTGAGTCCCCCCAGACTCCCGGCACAGCCGCTCGGCCTGCCGCTGCCGGGACCCCGCACGGACCCCGCACGCAGAGCGCGGGGGCTGGCGCGGATACCGCAACCCGGCCTTGCAGCCCCGCAGCCGGGCATCTCCCCCCTCGCCTTGCCCTGGCCTCCAGTTGCGCCGCCGCGTCTCTCCGCCGCTCATTCGGAGGCCGGTGCGGCGCCGGCCCGCGCCCCCCGCGGCCGTCACCGCGGCGGGGACCGAGGACGCGGGTCATGGCCGCCGGGGCCGCGCGCAGGACCGCCCGCTAAGCGGGGCTCCCCACGGATTGGCCACAGCGCGTAGTACCAGGGTGGGTGACGCAATGGCGAGAGGTTCTTCCGCCTGGTCCGCCACCTGCGCCTAAATGTCGTCTGGATAGGCCGGCGGGCTGGGCGCGCCCCGGCCCCGCCCACTCCCCGCCCCCGCGGGGCCGCCAATGGGAGCCCCCTCGCGTTTCAAAACGGGCCGCCAGCGGCCCCGCCACGGCGGGAGGCGGCCAATGGCGCGCGGGGCGGTGCTCCCCGCCCTTTCCCGCTCCCCGTGCCCGCCCGGGAGCCGCCGCTGCAGCCGCTGAGGGCGCCGGTGGGAGCCGCGCCCTTCCGTCTGCGGGGCCGGAAAACAACACCCTAGGACTCTTTCAGAAAGAAAGCGAAAAGCACTCTCTTTACTACGGCGGCCGTGATGCGCAGGGGTATTTCCCAAAGCGTGCGTGCCTGAGGTACAAAAGCCTCTTGCTTTTATTTGGTTACCTAATTAACAATTCAAAGCATTACCTAATGCTGTTACGCCCACTTCCGAAACCGTGCCTCCCACAGTACCGCCCTCGCCACACCTCCCCAGTTTGAGTCGGGGGTCTCAACGAGACCTCATCTTCTCTTCTTCCTCCTCCTCGTCTCCTTTGGCACAGCATCACGCCTTCTGCAGCGGCTCCAAGGCTTCTGAGTAGCTTTGACTGGTTTTGTCAGATGTTACAGTCTCTTTCTCAGTCCAGTTCACAGATAAGAGAAACCCTTTACGTCGTTAAAATTCCCATCTATCGAGCATTTTAGAAAACCGGTACAAAGGCGCTAGTAAAATTACATAATACAGGTTTTAGGCTACATCTATGCCCTACCAGTGGCCAGTGCCGGCGGCCCTGTTGGAGACGGAGGTGTTGGCAAAGGGGAATGACCTGCCTAAAATCGGCACTCAATCTGTGAGTTTTAGAAGCCAGGTGCTCTTTTATTCCAGCACGCTGGAATGATTTTGGCGTGTCAGGTGCCCCCAGGAAGCAGCTGGCTAAAATGCACCCCGTGACATCTCAGTTCCAGCTGATATGTCTGCGTTACACAATTGTTCATTTTTGTTCCCCGCATTCCTGATGCATATTCCTGACGTTTCCAAACACTTGCTAGCATATATCCATATCCTTATAAGGTCTCTGAGGGTCTCTGGTGGTCATCTCTGTATGGAGGCCCCAAAGCTCTGAGTGACCACCTTATGAATTTCTTTAAGATAGCATTACTGGTTATACATCAACCAGGCGTTGCCTGCTCGGCTGCTTCAGCTCCTTCCTTCATTGTTTCCTCACCTTAGTTGGCTGATGTCTTTAAATTGAGGCACAGTCATTTTCTATGGTACATTCTGCTGCAAAAACTATTAGTTCTTGTTACGTCTCTAAACCCCAGTGTCAGCATCCAGCTCAATTATAAACTCCTGTGTGGAAATGTTGCCCTTTACAGCAGGCCTAGACCACCTTTTATAGATATATTTCATGTTTTACAAGGTCTCACTGCTTTATTTTCCTTGAGCCGTAAGGAAACGCAGAGTCCCTGCATCCAGGGGCACAGATGCAGCAACAGTGACTTCTGGAGATAATTGTGGGATAACAAGGGAGAAATGAGGTGCTCTTTTCTTAATGTTGAGTATTATTAACCTTAGAGTCACCTACAAAAGTGGTGGCTTCTTTGTCTTTTGAAGACATTAAAATCGCACTGGAAAATACAGCCTTTAATCAAATTTGTTACTTGGCTCAGCTCGGAGGTAACCCGCAATACACTGGGTTTTTCTTCCTAAGAAACACTGACATCTGTGCATCTTTATGAACTAGCACCCCCTTTTCTATCCCTGATCCTTTCTGTGCATTTGGCCCTTAAGTTGGGTTCTTCTGAAGGGTCATAGAAGTGTAGACTTTTGCCCCAGATTCAGACATTACATTGTGCAGGTCCTGAACTGGACTTAGCTTGCTCCTGTGGACTATTGCTGCCCAGCCTGTGTCGACCACCATGCAAGAAGTATGTGGGAAGAAACATGGACGTATTCCTGTTCTCACAATAAACCATTTTGGAGCAATTTCCTGGTCTCCCACATTACAGACACCAAAAAGCCAGAGCAGTGTGCTCCAGAGAGAAAGCTGAGCAAGGCTGGGACAGCAAGGCTTTCTCTAGTGATCAGAAAGCTCATCTGCATCCAGAGCAAAGTGAAGATTAAGTTTTAACCCACTGCAGAGGTTGCTGGTGGACAGTATATGTTGGCCTTACTCCATCTCTTTGTCCCTTTCTCACTGGAGAGGGTGGAGGGAAGGGAAGCAGCTGCTTGGAGCTTAATTTATAGATGGTTTTAAACCAGAACACTGAGAAGTGAAAGGAAGCTTAAACCTAGAACTAAGAAGTTTCTTAAAAGAAAAAGATAAAATATCACACCATTTATAATGGCAAACTTGCTAAATAAGATGTCATTTAAAAACAATTGATTTAAAATTAATTGCTGCTTTGACTTCTTGCTCCAGTTAAAAATGAATACTTCATGTTTCATGGAATCACAGAATGGTGTGGGTTGGAAGGGACCTTGGAGATCAACTTGTTCCAACTCCCTGCCATGGGCAGGGACACCTTCCACTATCCCAGGTTGCTCAGAGCTTCATCCAACCTGGCCTTGGACACTTCCAGGGATGGGGCAGCCACAGCTTCTCTGGGAAACCTGTGCAGGGCCTCCCCACCCTCACAGGGAAGAACTTTTCTCTAACATCTAATCTAAACCTACTCTCTTTTAGTTTGACTCCATTGCCCCTTGTACTGTCACTCCAAGCCCTTGTCCAAAGTCTCTCTCCATCTTTCTTGGCAGCTCCCTTCAGGCACTGGAAGGCCACAATTAGGACACCCCAAAGCCTTCTCTTCTCCAGGCTGAAAAATCCCAATTCTCTCAGACTCTCCCCGTAGGAGAGGTGCTCCACCACCATCAAGTTTGTTTGGGCTTGATAAGTTTTGGTTTGTTGACAATTTTGTTTGTTTGTTTGTTTGTTTTAATAAACAACCGATGCATTATATTTTCTTATATCTCTGGCTGCTTGCTGAAATGTCAGGATTTCCAGTGCTGATCTAATTCAGTTGACTCAAGTGTTAATTTGCAACATTACAATTGACAGAAGGAGACAATCGACTGGAAGGAAATTATATGTCCTTCTGGTGATTTGTGGGGTTTTTTTTATTCTTTTAACTCCTTTAATACAGTCTTCTAAGACTGAAGTGGTAGAGTCTGCTCTCTAGGGAACCAAAGCATGGAAGTTTATTGTCTCTGGACATTGCCAGGTGTGTCAGTTTGTTTTAATAAAATATTCTTTTAATATTGTCTTTTAGAACTCCTAGTAATTAAAATTAAGGGTATAAAGTATCAAAATCAATAAAAGACATCAGAGAAGTGTAATACTGGTATGGACCTCACCAGGTTATCTAATCCACTCTTGTATCTGAGGAGTATCTAATGGTTCTAAAAAGTTCAAAGCATTTGTTTTTCATTGTTTCAGATTGTTTGTAAACAACTTCTGTGAATTTTTTTTTCTTTCATAGCTGCTCCATCATTTTTCTTACTGGTTAATTGAGATTTTTTTTTTTCATGTTTTTATCAGGTTTTCCTCTTTCTCATTAAGCCAAATGCCCAGCCTTTTCCAAACAGAACCCCCATACATCTTGTTTTTGATTGTATCCTCTCATTTATTTAAAGATTGCTGGCCTGTCCTCTTCTCACTATCCACTTACTAATTAAATAAAGCCAGTTCTTACAAGTCTTCCTCAGAACCTACATTTTGTAAATGCACCATTTTAAATTTTTTTTCTGCACTTCCTTTCCCTCTAAAGCCACCATGTCTAAAATTAGGCACAGTGTCCAAACTCTGACTTCAGCACTGCTAAATAGAGCAGAATAATTGTCTCCTGTGAGGTGCATGTAGCCCTGCTGTTACTCCCTGGTAGAATTAAATTTGTCTGATTTTGCTCTTCTGCATATTCATGCTCAAGTGTGATCCCTTATTTGGGATTCAGTGTTGCTACAGATCCCTTTCAGCAAGATCCTGTGCCTGGCTGGCACATTCCTGGCAAGTCATTAATTAGCAGGTTGTAAGCTGTCCCTAGAGCAGGGATCACACTGTGACCAAGGCATCCATAAGTGGGGAAAAGAGAAATCCATTTAGCAGATTTACTGGAAAGCATTTTTTTTTTTTTTTACCTAGTGTTGGATCTCCTCCGGGATACCTGTCACATTGGGAAGAAGTTTCTCTCTCTTCCTTTCCCCTTTAGTCAACTCAGTTTTTTAACACTGGTGCTGTATTTTTAATGGAATATTTATACCTGGGTCTTTTTTTCAACCTTTCTTGTAACCCTCTATCCATACTGCAATGAAGGCTCTAGAAATTTAACTTTCAGGGGGCACTGTATTAAACCAGCTGATGGCAAAGCATCAGCTCAATATTCTCTAGCAATCAAAAAGGGGCTTTTTCGCCTAATAATGAAGTTTCTCTGACCTCTCCAGGGACTCCTAGCCTGGGTATTTTTTAAGGACAGATGGCACACATGCTGTGGGGGTCGCAGCTGGAGGAGCTGGTCTATACTGCTCCCACACAGCTTGGAAGCATCTCTCAGCTGCTCCAGCTGCCGGCAGTGGCTCAGCTGCAGTTTTGCTGTGGCCTTCAAGTGAGAAAGGTGGTGTAACTTTGCTCTCCTAGGAGCAGAAATGGGCTTAAAATATGATTCTGAGAATGAGTGTCTGCTACTCGGTTTCTTACGCCTCGACGCTCGTTTTATGGATGTCACTGACAAATGTTACCCTGTTTTATGCTGGTAGGGGGAGCCACTCTACAGGTTGCTTAGGGGATGGTAAGCAAAAGGATGTTACACCGCAGCCTCTTTACTGTTGAACTTAGCCAGGGAGGAGTTCCAGCTATGCTCCCTCATTTTCAGAGTTTTTACTTACGATGTGACGATGAAAACTCATGTGAAGGGTTATGCCAAAAGTGTGCAGACCCCTTACAGTGGGATAAACAGGTGTCAATAAGCAAAATGATAACCTGACCCCTTCCATTAGGCTTCTGTTAAGGAACCACTGGCTTTTATCTCTTTTTTTTCTTGTCCATTAATGTGCTGGGCATTTGCTTTACTGAAGGTACACAAGCTTCTACGCCTGGAGATAAAATTGTTTATGTTATGTATCAACACTGCAAACTTAGCAACCAGGTTACAGGCACAAAACTCTGAGCTACTTAAAAGGCTCTAGCAACACGGAGGCCAGGCTTAGTAACACGGCCGGGGGAAGGCTAGCAACCATCAAGAACGGGCAAATAAATACTCAGCCTCAGTTTTCCTCCTGCGGGGGAGGCATCACGACCTGCAGCACAAAATTGTATTGAGGGAAATGGCAGGGAAAGCTGTGCCTGTGAGGTTGTGGTGACCACCTGTGCTCGTCCTTACCTTGGAGTGAAACTGCAGCTTTTCCCTTCTTCTCGCGGGTTCTCCCAGTCTCGTATTAATGTATTTAATAATGGGATTATTCTCCTGTGAAGAGGGGAAAGAATGACCACTGAAAGCCTACCTGCCTTCGTTTAGCTTTTTAACCTGGTTTTGCCTGCCTGCTCTTCCAGGAGACTACTATGATGGCAGATCCTTCAGTGGTGGACCACCTGACACGACTGAAACTCAAACTCCTAGAAAAGGTAAGGGAATAATTCCGCAGCAGTCACCTTTGCTCTGCTTTTTGCTCTTGCCTGTTTAAGCAGTAACATTGTATTTTAAAATATTATACCTCTACTGAGGCACAATGGGGGTAGCCAACTGAGAACGTCTTTCTTCATGCAAGAAGAGGCAGACCAATGTGCAGCGGTGCTATAGCTACTGTCGCTTTCTTAAATAGCATTGTACAAGCTTACATGGACCTAAGGTAAATTAAATAGACTTTGATCTTATGGGAGATGTCATCAGCTGAAAACCAGTTCGAGTTGTGACAGGCAAAGTTTAGGAGTAAATTTTGGATAAAGAGGACCTCGGGTTGTTTTAAGGCAACTTCATGTCTGCTGTCACATCAGATATGTTGCCTGGTGAAACATGGGCTGGCAGCATATGAGGTGCTGCACAGAATCCCAGCTCCCCTTGCTTGTGTTCTCCACGCTGCTCTGTTCCTCCACCCTCAGCACATCCGACATCCACTGGTGTGGATCTTCTGCTTCAATATCCTCCAGAAGCCACTTAAGTTGTTTATCTGAGAGCAGAGTATTCTGAGTTGGAAGGGACCCACAAGGATCATCGAGTCCAGCTCTGAAGTGAATGGCCTGTGCAGGGATCAAACCCAAAGCCTTGGTGTTACCAGCACCATGCTCTAACCACCTGACCAGGCAATTTATCTGGAGGCGTGGCTGCTGCAAGTGGTGTCTAACCTGTCTCCACAGCAGAGCCTTTTTTCTTAGATGCAGCAGCCATTGGAAGGCAAAGCTTTCAGCAGTGTGCAGCCGTGCAGAACCACGGAGGGAGCCTGTGTGCAAGTGAAAGGTCTCTAATTTCTGAGCATTGGGGAGCAACAAGGGCCAGCTGCTCTCTAAGGAGCAGGGAGTTCAGCATAATAACACATCAGCAGAGCAGGGGCCTAGCTGGAGGCAGAGCCAGAGATGGTGGCCAGGTTCAACCAAGATTCCAGATCCATCAGGCAAGCTCACGGTGGTGAGGCAGGTCCATTGCCACCTTTGGAAGTGACTGAAGGTTGGGATCAAGGTTAAAAGAATCCGTGGCCAGTCACAGCATGGCTGGGGCTGAACTGCAGATTAATGCTCATCCAGTATAATTCAGGTATGAACTGAAGACCTAGAGCTGAGATTAAAGGGGCACGAGTGGCAGGTAGAGCTGAACAGGGTCATTTAGGCCTATTAGTGTACCAAATATCCCAAACCTGGCATTATCAAGTTCTTCATACAATCCAGCTCTCTTCCCTACAACATAAATTATGTATAAATCTCCTGATTCACCACATTATTAATTTTCAGGTCTGGAATGTCCTGGACGGTCGGAAGCATGACATTTCTGTTATTGTAACTAGATTTGTAGTGAGGACCAGCATTTGTCTCCAGTTCTGCTTTATTTCCTCCATCCCAACCTATGTCATAAGGTAGGGCGAGAAATTCCTGCGAGCTTTGCTGCCTGACTCATAACCAGTTCTTGTTATGGTTCTACCAACAGAGACTAAAAAATGAACAGGAGAACCTGGAAAAGATGGAGTCATCTCTCCCAGCTGCAAGTAAGAGAAGCATTTGTTCTAATTATGGACATAATTTAGAAAGAGCTTAGTGATGTTCTCAGGGAGGAGTTCCTCAGTCGATCATCCCATTCCAGTACACAGGCACTGTTTATAATTATATTACTTACAGGTTAAAGGCTCTCAGTAAAAGCTCAATGATACTTCTAGATTGTAACCTGGGCTCCCATTCATTGAGCTCATGGACAAATAGTTGGGAAACTTCCAATGCTATGGCCAAAAATCAAAAATCCGTATAACAACTTAGAGTTTCAAAATCTGAAGTGATGCTTTCCAGAGCAGATGCCAGGCATGTCTCCAATGTATCTGAAAACATTCTTCCTTATTTTCATTTCAAGCAAGTTCTGAATCAACTACATGTGGGGAGAACTGAAGAGGAAGTTGATTCAGAGCAAAAAAAGAGAAAGCAAAGTTGACATTCAAAACTGAGTTTGTTTTGATGTGTCACAACAGTCAGTCATCCTCTGCATATACAGAGTACGTCTAGAAACTTTCAGGCTGAAATGAGTTCCTAAGCCAGGAGGTTAAAAGGGGGCTTTAGAGAGCCACCTAAAGAGTTTCATTTCAGAGAGGGTGCATTGCCTTTGTAGAGCTGTGGAACAGCTGTGACTGCACATGTCACAAAGTCGTTATCCATACATGCATTTCCCAGGAAAAGCAGCCAAAAGCTTTTTGTGGAAGAAGCCAAGCTATCTTATAACGCATTTTCCAAATTAATCTCATAATGTAGGTGCTGTAATAGCTCTGTACTTGTGATCCTTTGAGAAGATAATGGACTTTTCCTCCTTCAGGGAACAGACCTGAGGACATGCTCCAAAGTGCCCTGAGGCGAAGGAAAGATCTGCTGCAGGAGCTCAGGGTAAAAGCCCTCTCTGTGGCCAGAAGCAACAGAAAGGGCCCATTTACCTGCACATCCACTGCTGATGTGGATTCAGTGTTTTCCTATCCTTTGGTTCTTGGGCTGGGCACTGTGAGTGCTTTGCTGCTTTGGAATATGGAGGCTGGGACAGCTAATCAGGGAGGGGGCCTGGGGAGCACTTTGGCTTCCCTCACTACAGCTAAGGAAGCTTGCACCTGCTTCAGGTAGTTGTTGACTTGATTCTGTTTGTCCTGAACTGCTGTGTCATAAGCTTTCTGGGGTAGTGCCAAAATACAAAGAAGGGATTTTTAATGCAGCCGAAGTAGGGACAATAGTAACTGTTACTCATTCCTAGTTTGTGGGGGGTACCAACCATTAATGAAATGTTTTCCCAGACTTTTGGCTTCTCGCTCTGCACTTTTTTTTTTCCCCCATTCTTTTTTTGCTTGTGCTTCATGATATGTGGGAAGGAAAACTTCCCTTATGCTTACGCAGGTACTGGCTCTGCCCTGCTGCAGGTTCCCAGGGGGTGATCCCATTTAGTCCAGAGAGCACAGCAACACAGTCTGCCTTTCTGTGACCAGGTTTTCTTTAAGAAGAGACTTGATTTTGCAGGAGCAGCACCTTCTGGAAGAGCTTTCACAGCCACCTGCACCAGCTGGAGGACATTGTCATAATCACAGAGCTGTCCCCCCACAAGTCTACCAGATCCCTTTTCCAGCTCCCCAAGTGGAGCCACCAAGGATTATCCAGCAGACAGTAAGGACTGTCTCCTAGGAAACATCACTAGCACTATGCCAGTCTGAGAAAACAACCATTTGGGAGCTGTATGGCATTGCTCATCCCACCAAAAGGGAAGATACACCTCTTGCTCTTGTGTGGGACCCTTGCTACCTTCAGCAAAAGCTAAGGGGAATCACCTTACAAATAAGGCCCAAAATTAACAATGTGCATGGTTTACCCTAGGGACGAGGTGGCAAAAGGAGTGGCAGGATTGCCCAGACCTGGCCATTCAATCAGGTTCTAGTGCACATCACTGTCTGCTCGTGCAGCCCACAACCTCAACAGCTTCCCCACGAGGATCTCATGGGAGACAATGCCCAAAATTTTCCTGAAGTCCAGGCAGATGACAGCCCTTCCCAAAGATGAGGGAGCTGGCAAAAACCAACCCAAACTTCTCCATTTCCCTTCCTTTTTTCCAGATCCCACCTCAGCCTGCCACCATCATCCAGCAGCTGCCTCAGCCATCCCCTGTGATCACGCAGATCCCCCCTGCCCAGCCCTTTGCAGCCCCCCACTCTGGAAGCATTAAGGAAGGTGAGGTGCTCTCTGTGTAGCAGCCAGCTCCCATCAGCAGGCCCAGGGAGGGCAGGTGAGGTGCCATGGCACGTGGGAGGGGGCACGGGACAGCATCCAAGCTGGTTAATAATGGGCTGTTTCATGAGCAGGCTGCCGGCGGAGCTGTGGGAATTGCACTCCGTAACTGGGATGGGCACCAGTTCCGAGAGGCTTTCAGACAAACTCTTATCACTAAAACTAAAGAAAGAAGGGCTACAAACTCAAGGGGAGCTTGGGAAGGCAGAACAGCTCAGCTCATGGCACTGAGCAATATTAACAAGGTCAAACACGTGTGCACAGGTGATTCCAAAATTAACACACAGGCTTCTAAAATCTGGTTTTATTCTTCTGTCCCCTCTTAACCTGCTATTCAATCTCCTCGGGCTTTTATTATGCCCTGTGTTTGGAAACAAGACAGAATAGTGGAAAGTGCTGATCTAAATATAGTGCAATGCCAATAAAAGGGTTTGTTTCTAAACATAGGTGGAATAACACATGAACTAAAACCTGGGATGACTTTCCTGGCTCAGCCTTCAGCCAAAGTTTTCTTCAACCCACACAGAAATCTTCAGTCACGAAACTACAGCATTTCTCAGCTTATTCTTCATTTAAGTATCTGGATTTTTGAATAAGAGTTTATTTTCACGAACAAAATAGTCTCAATTCATGCATGACTCTTCTGAAGCTGCCACATGTAAAATACTTCTTGTATGACCAGTAAAAAGGAAAAGGAGAGTCGCTTTGATCTTTTTTCCCCTACTTTTTTTTTCTCCCCTCTTCCTCTTCACCTCCCCCCAGGCGAATTATTTACACTGCACAGGCCCTTTGTGATCCCAGAGACTGTGGTAAGGAGATCTGATGTGCATGCAGTGGCAGTTTGAGGGCTGGACTAGATGATCTTAAAGGTCTTTTCCATCCTTTATGATTCTATGAGTCAGTGGACTCTCAAGGTGGCACTGCAATGTCACGCAAATTTGAGGAAACCTCTCACATGGAAAGCAATGGTCTGGGGCCAAAGCAATGGAGAGCACAGTCTGTGCATCCAGGAGTGAGGGAGGGCTACAGCCCCAGCCCTTGTCCAGCCTCTCAGCACAACCAGAGGTGTGGGCTTGCAGGGAAATGAACAGACAGAAGGTGCTCATCAGCAGCTTTCCTGTAGAAGGGAAGAGAAAGAGGAAAACTGGTATGAACAGTCTCATTCAAAGGCATTAATTTTGCACTGTCTGGGCAAATAATGCCAATACTCTTAATGTGCCCCTGTCAGCTGCTTTGCCTTGTTCGCAGTGGCCCGTCTGTGTGCTGGAGGGCACTCCCCACTGTCATGCCTCTGCTGCTTGTCAGTCATTGATGAAGCTCTTATTTTCTTCCTTGGGGGGTGACCTCTTCCCAGATATGGTGGAGATGATGCTGATGCAGAACGCTCAGATGCACCAGATCGTGATGCAGAACATGATGCTGAAGGCTCTGCCGCCGGCGGCGTTCGCGCAGCGCACGGGACCCGGCTCTGCCCCGCTCCAGCACTCGCAGCAGGTAACAACCCCCCGGGCCTGAGGGGCATCCTCCTTCACACCAGGCAGTGGCTGATCACCTGGGGAGGATGCAGGGCCTGGGCAAAACACACAGAGAGTCTGGGACATCTAACAGCTGTGCACACCTTCAAACCCACAGCGCCAGGAGCCTATTTCTGAGGCAGCACAGCCTTTTTGCCGTGAGGAGCACTGTGACAGGACCCCATGGAAGAATGTTTCCTCACAAGTGCAGACTGGATTCAGTCCAGCTCTGAAAGCGACCTGGCCTGTAGGGTTGAACCACTAACACAAGACACCTTACACTGAGTATCTGCTGCTGCAGGTCCCTAGCTGGAAACAGCAGGGGAAAAGCTGGAGAGGGGCCTTTGGCAAGGGCAGGCAGTAGTAGAACAGTGGGGAATGGCTTTAAACTGAAAGAGGATAGGTATAGATTAAATATTGGGAAGTAATTCTTCCCTGTAGGGTGATGAGGCCCTGGCACAGAGAAGCTGTGGCTGTCCCATCCCTGCAAGTGCTCAAGGCCAGGTTGGACAGGGCTTGGAGCAACCTGGGCTAGTGGAAGGTGTCCCTGCCCATGGCTGGGGCTTGGAATGAGAGGGTCTTGAATGTCCCTTCCGACCCACACCATTCTGTAATTCTATGAATATTCCTGTTACAAATTATTTTATTAGTAAATGCTGACCTGGCAGTATCAAATGGATTAGAGCTGAAACGCAGATTTTGTGATGGTACCTGGAGCCTCTCTGCTCTGGTTCCTGCCTCACTGAAAATTAGTTGCTACTCAGCTCTGAAAAGACAGATTCTTAGATATATTTTAGTATGTAGAGCCCTATAGGGATTTTTTCAAAATGTGTCCAGTGCCTGATGAGGGGTAGGTAAATTTGAACATATCCTTAAATGCCCAATTCCTAAACTATTTTTAACAAGGTGATAGAGCTCCTTAGGATCCTTAAGTGCTTTGGAAAAATGTCCAGTCTCTCCTCCGTGGCATTTGTTATCAAAGAAGAAAGGAAAGTTGATCTTTGTAGAGGAGGGGAGATGCTAGTGTTGCAAAACCTTCCTCTGTACTTTTCCTACCCCACGACCTTCAGGCTAACTTTTCCTTGTGCTGAAAGAAAGAATGCATCCCCTGATCCCTCCGCTTCTCCAGGCCATCCTGTCACTCTGCATTTCCCTGGCATTGACTGATGGAATAAGTTGGAGGGAGTGGGATCTGAGTGCCTCTGAGTATCAGGGGAAATCTGAAGTCGCCAAGTGTTTGTTGGACCTTCTGAACTGGTGGTTGAGTGGGACCACAGCTCCTCAGCCAGAGACCCTTCCCATGGGGGCACAGGTTTCTCCACCCACACTTTGTCTCTCTCCAACAAGGACCTGCAGCTTGCTGCTCCCCTGGCAGTGAAGGCAGATCGTCCCAGGCCACCTGTGGTGCACCACCACCACCACTACCCTCCCCCAGGGGTGCTTCCAGTGCCTCCCAGGGGCTTCCCATCCCCATCCACGGCGCACCACTGGACCTGGACATAGGCAGCTTGCTCTCTACCCAGCCTAGGCAGGTAAGCAGGCAGCTGTGACATACCCTTCCAGCCCATTCTTCCTGCAAGGGTGGGGTAGCAAGGCAGATTGTGGAATAAACATGAGGATCAGACAAGATCTACAGGTGATCCCATGCCATGTCCCTGCCTCACAGAGCCCCTGCCCTGCCATGCTGTGGGGCTCTGCTCTGCAGGGGCTCTTACCCTGGGTTCTGGGTCTCCCTCTGAACCCAGCAGTCACCTGCTTAACAAGGGGGTTGTATGTGTTTTACACTCAGGCTAAGGTTCCCATTCTTAAAACACTGCTGAGACATTTGCTAATTGGAAATTCTTGGGGAAAAAAACCTCACCAGCTGAGCAAAAACAGTACAAAGGAAGAGGAGCATCAGAAATAAAGCTGAACCTGTGCCTGCAGCTCGGGGAGAAGGGTTTCACGTGCAGAAATGGATGATGCTCTAGGGTCTGTAGAGCCCTTGAGCCCTGCACAGAGCTCAGCAGCCAGCTCCTCCAGGTGCTCACTTGCTTTGTTGCCTTCCTCTGAGCTGGTCCTGGTTGGCTTGTTAGGTGCTAGAAAGTTCTTACGTGCCAAGGCTGGTAAAGAAATGCACTTTGCTGGAGCACAGGGGGTGGCATGGGGACACACTGCTGCATCAGTGAGAACACAGCTTTTATTTCTGTGCTGTGGCTCTTTCAGAGCCTTAGTGAACAGAAGGACAGGATGGAGGCAGCTGCAGCCCTGGGCCCCTGTGACCTGCTGGCAGGGACATCTATACGGCCTTCTTTAGCAGAGGATTTGAATTCCTGAACAGATTATTTACCTAATGGGATTATAAGGGATAAACATTTCTACCTATTTCCCTTTTACATGGGTTTGTAATCTGAACCAGTAAAGAACTCCTGGCTCCTTTTGGAATCAGTGCAATTCACTGTTTAAGCTGTCTCCTTCCTCTTCTTAAGCTGCCTTTCACCATGAGTTATGAGACCAAACATCTTCTTGCATCTGCAGCACTGCTGGCTATTACCAAACACAATAAACACATCTTTCTTGTTGCAGGTGGCCCCCATACTGACAGGATGGGATCCTCTGCAAGTGGACCATAGCCTTTCTTAAAGTAATAAAATCCTGATGTTCTTGCTTGAGTATTGACATGTCTTTTTCTTCAGCAACATAAATCAAGCACTTTTCTCTCCTTTACTTTTCCCACTAGTTTTCATAGGGTAGGCTTTAATCCATGTCCATGCTATCCTCTTCTTTTTCTTTTCATTTACAGCTCCTTAAAAGGCTCAAAGTTTTTATCAGGCAACATTTTTCATGCTCTCAGCAGCCTGGTTGTCCTTAATATAGAAAGATGAACAATGATTTCGTACCACTTTCTCAATGTCTTCCCACCTTCTCCTGTTTTTAAAGCAGAGAACATCTGTACATTGGGTTTGCCTTGTGCAGTTTGCAAGTGAGTCTGATTAAGATGACCCAGGGACCTAAATTTCATTGGGAACGAAGAAAACATAGTAACAGCCACTGCAGGAAGCTAGTGGTATGCTGTCTGTGCTCCAAAAACAATTAATGAATAATTTATTTACTATGTAAAACCTGCCTTGCTCTTTGCCCTCCCTGCTCTGTTGTCTGTGCTCGGTGTGTGGGTCAATCAGACAGTGTGGATCAATCCACTGCTGTGGAGATCAGTGAAACCCCCTGGAGGCTCTTTAGTGGTGACTGGGTTGGACACAGTGCCAGGGCCCATGGGCACCAACAGCCTTTAACAACCCCAACCAGCCCACCTGGGACCCCCGCTCTCCCCAAGGCCAACATTCCCATTTAAGCTCGGGCCTGGGGCTGCTTGTGGCTCCTGTCAACCCTGTTTGTTGAGTTGCTGGCCCTTGGTGGGCTGGGAACCAGGACATGCCACAAAGAATGGGTGCTGTGCTTGTGGAGGGATTTGATCTTTCTCTTTCAAAACTCTTATAACTCTCTACAACTTCTGACTCTCTGCCTGAAAGAGGAAATGGCCTCAAGCTGCACCACGGAAGGTTTAGACTGGACATTAGGAAGAAATTCTTAACTGAAAGGTTTGTCAAGCATTGGAAGAGGCTGCCCAGGGAAGCACTTAAGTCTTCCCCTATCCCTGTGGGTCTCTAAAAGTCATGTAGGTGGCACTCAGGGTCATGGCTTAGTGGTGGGCTTGGCCGTGCTTGGTTAACAATTGGACTCAAATATCTTAGAGGACTTTTCCTACCCTCAGGATTCTATGAGCCAAATCTGCTGGTCTGGGCTGTGCATGGCAGGTTGAGCAATAAATGGTGGTCAGTGTGTGTGCTAATGCATGTGCTTTCAGTGCCTGCTGTTTAACTATTGTGTGCAGGCTGTAATTGGCTCCTCCCTTTGCAAACCTTGCTGTGTGCAGCCCTGGCTCAGGAGAGCATTTCCTACCGAGGATGGGCATGTGAAATGGTGCCTGCAGAGGCGTCTCACAGCCTCATTCAAGTCCTGGAAAGCTTCTGCAGATTAGGCATGAGCCCTCTGCCCAGCATCACACCCCAAAATGCTTGAGTCACACGCAGCTTCCTTGGATGAAAGATGTCCTCAAAGACAGGACGAGGCTCCTGAGCAAGCAGGGTGGCTCACATCTCAGCCTCAGGAGAGAGCCTGTGCAACCCCAAAAGCTCCTCTGCCTTGTCCCACCAGTGCCCCTGCAGCTGCAGCCCAGTGAAGCACTAGCAAAAGCCTGGCAGATGCAGGTTCTCCTCCTGCTCTGTGCATGTTCCTCGAGGACTGTGGAATTGCTTTACAGTTTCTGAAAGAGGCCTTTGGATAAAGCCTGGCTGAGTAACGCCAAGTGCCCATCTCTGCCCCCGAGGCTCAGCCAGGCTGACTCGCTGACACTCTGTGCTGGGAGTTAAACTTTAATACGAACCAGGGGAGAGGAGCCCAGGTGTGACTCAGCCTCCCATGCTCTTCCCCTCCCCACTGGAGAGGGTGGTGTGGCAGGACAGGGAGCGGGACAGGACACAGCAGGGAGCACCTGTGGCCCAGGGGCTGCCCTGGTGATGGAGCCCTGTGACCCACACAGGAAGAGAGTTGCTGTTGTCGGAGGTGGCCTGGTAGGAAATGCCCTTTTTAGCTGCTGCATGACTGTGTTTGCCAGGGAGCTGGGGCTGTGAAAGCACTGCCTGAGTGTGGTTGGATGTTTGTCTTGAAATCATTCCTCTGTGAGATGATGGGGCATCGGAAAGGGGCTGGTTTTGTTCCTGCTGTGGGAGGCTCTTGTCCTTTTCTCTGAGGAAGGGGTTTGAGTGGTGGTGGAGCAATGGTGCCCAGGTACATTAAATAACAGGCCAGATCCCCCTGCCCCTTGGCTGTTTCTAGCTGTAACCAAGTCACCAGTGTGAAATGCTTTGCAAGGACTGAGACTCAGTAAATGCCAGGCTAAGAGGAAATGCCTTCCTCTGCCCACTTTTGTTTGGGAATGGTTTTCATCCCCTGCTACTTGCATAGTGGTCTGACTCCAAAGGCCAGGCTGGATGGGGCTCTGAGTAACCTGGTCTAGTGGAAGGTGTCCCTGCTCATGGCAGGGGGTTGGAATGAGGTGGTCTTTAGGGTCCCTTCCTAACCCAACCCTTTCTGTGAGTCTATGATCCTATGATAGCATGGAGCATTGCAGCACCTAACATCTCTCTCTTGACTTTTTGGACATTAGCTTCTTGGAAAAGAGTGATGACATAAGAGTCTGTAGTTCTGACAGCAATTAGTGATGGAAATAAACAAGAAAAATTGATTTAAATAACAAACAGGACATATTCGTGCTGTTCTCCCCCAATGTGTTCCCAAGGGAATGCTGCAGCACCCGGAATTCTATTGAGGAAGATAAACACAGTCCAGAGAGGAGCTGTGAGCTTGCCTGTACCAGCTCCTGCTATCTCTGGCTGAAGAGATTAACCCTGCTGCACTCAGTCACCGTGTGTAAACAAGCCTGAGCTTGGTATGACTTCATATGAAGAGTTTTGATGGTTGGCTTTGTTCTTGGAGACTTTGCAGACACATCAGGTCTGCCAGAGGACTGCTCTTCAGCAAAAAGTCCTCTAAGGCTCTTGGTCAAAGGACTTACCTGTACATGCTGAGCTGCATCCCCTGATCACTGCTTTCCCTTGATGCATCTCAGTAGTGACCTGTGGAATACTTCATCCACCATTCCTGGTCCTTCTCTTGTAGGTGGGCGCGTTAAATGCCTGTTTCTTTGCTAGACGAGGTTTCCATGTTGATGTTTACGAAGCCAGAGAAGGTAAGCTCAGCCTGATCATTTCTGTGTGAGCTCACTGAAACCACAGAAAAAAAAGAAATCTGAAAGTGTGACAGTTTGGGGATATTCTTTTCACTCTTCCCTTTAGGTCCTGGGGGGGGGGGAGGAAGCACTTATTTGAAGTATGTTGCCTTGTGTGGAGAGAACCCACCCTTCAGCTACTAAAACAATGCCCTTTTTATGTTCTTGGCTTAAATATTGATTCAAATCCTCACCTTTTAAACTTAGTCTCTGCATGAAGCATTATAAGTCCAGAGCTGTACCAGAAGGAGAGATGGAGTGCTCTCAGGAAGCCTCCAAGTCCTCAGGGTGCCACAACAGAGAAATCATGACTTAGAGCCAAGGTGCTGGCTGAAAGGCAGAGAAATCGTTCACCTTCAGTATCTGTCAGCTGGCAGACAAAGAGAACCCGGGCAGAGGTGGCAAGCCAAGCAGCAGGTGAAAACGACACCATGGAAGGTGAAACTCAGGCATGCAGTGAAGGGAAGGAGAAGCCGCTCCTGACACGTGATCTCTGAGGAAACTCTTCCTGCTCTGACAGACATCAGGACGGGCAGTTCTGCTGCATGGCTCACAGTTGCTAGAAGTTCCACAGGTTCAAAAAGCCTCTGATTGCCTTCTGAGTTGGATGGATTTTACTGCT